CATCTCCAGTTTCCTAAATAACTTACTGAAAAGCTATCATCCCTACATTGATTTAAATCTTTCCTGAAAAACAAAATTTACTACAGACTCCTGACCTGGACCTGGGGAATTGGCTGGACTTGAATTAGAATTGTTTTCAGAATTGCAGGATGAGAAAGGCCAACACAGAGGGCCTTAAAGGGATTTCACCAGGCACAGGGAAAATACTGTTCACAATAATTGTGTAAATCTAGAGCCATTTTTAGAAATCACCTTCAATTTCAAGTAAATAAATTTTGTGCTTTCTCACTGTAAATGATCAGAAACCAACACAACTGTAAAAGCAGAAAAAATGCAGAAGCTATAACTTTGTCACACATCTTTATTACCTTTAAAAATAACTAATGAAAAACATTCACAAAAAAGCCGAATGGCGGTGGGGGGTGGGGGTGGGGCCGTAAAAGGAAAAGCCAAAAGATCCTTTAAAGTGTAAGACACATAAATTTTTCTCTCTCTCTTCTTAACAACTCTCCTCTGTGAAAAAAGATTTTATGTGATCAGTCAGAATTTCTACATAGTAACTAAAATGAAGGGAAACTGACTGTAAAAAGAGATAGAGTCCAACCACGCAGGCTGAAAGAGAGAGTTCATTTTCTTCCCACTGCTCCTAGAAATATTTATCTCAAAAAGATAAATAAGATAAATCTATCATTCTTATAACCCCAAATGGAGCCCTGGTGGCACAGTGGTTAAGATCTTGGCTGCTAAACAAAAGGTCAGCAGTTCAAATCCACCAGCCGCTCCTTGGAAACCCTATGGGGCAGTTCTCCTCTGTCCTATAGGGTCCCTATAAGTCGGAATCCACTCGACGGCGATGAGTTTTTGGGTATAACCTCAAATGCTAAGGTCCTCTCTAAATCCTTTTAACTCAAAACGTCTTTACTAAATCTACTGTAGTATTAAGCATAATTATTCTAAACTGCTTCACAGTGGGATTTAACTAGCTATTTCCATGTCAGCAATTGAGTAAATGCTTAAGTTCTAGCTTCACTTGGCTTCTTTACCCATGTTTGAACATGATTTGTCTATGGAGTCATCTTTTACGGTAAAGATTCCTAAGCCATCGTAGAGTACTGAATTAATTCTAAGTGTGTTTTAACCTTCGTATGAACACCTGCTAAGAGGTACAGAAAACTGACATTTGGAAAATGTATTACTCCAGGGCCAGGATTCCACAATGGGGTTTCCAATACCAAATAAATTTCTTTATCTCCTGAAATTGTTAAATTTATGCTTGATATTCCTTCCATGGAATAGGAGGTATATCTATTCTATCCAAAGACTTGAAATATCCAGGGGCTGAATTTTAGGTAATTATTCAGGAGGCCAAAGACAGACACAGGGATTTTGACTGAATCAGAGTTATACTCTCCCTTGATTTGCAATCAAAATATTTCCTTACTAAAGACCACAGACCACATTGTTATATCACATACTTAAAGAAGAAAAGACAAATAACAGTGATGAATGAAAGTAAAGATCTTGCCAATGAATTTCATTCTCTGTAAGTGAAATTACACTACCATAAAAGCTCTTATTCTGTAAAGATGTCCTGAAGGTATTTTGTTTTGTCAGTTCTCCAAACTTTTCTTTTCTGATTGCTAATTTCAACTCTGGAAATCAGTCAAATAAATACAAACACACAAAATGTAGCTAAAGAAATAAGTTTTGAAGTTTTGCCCCATTGGGTAAATAGACCAGTTAACATTTCTCTCAGATACTGTGCTAATTTTAAGATTTTGTTTCTTAATTTCCTAAAAATGTTCTCTTAGACAAATATATACATCCTGTGACAAAGATGGAGCCCTAGTAGTGAAGTAGTTAAGAGCTCAGGCTGCTAACCAAAAAGGTCGGCAGTTCGAATCCACCAGCTGCTCCTTGGAAACCCTGTGGGGCAGTTCTACTCTATCCTCTATAGGCTAGCTATGAGTCAGAATTGACTCGACATCACACAACATGACAAAGATGCCCGCATTAAAACAAACAAAAAACTATTGTTCCAGGTAAAATAATTCTTGTTAGCAATTAGTTTTATATCCATAGAAAATTAAGAACTATAAAACAGCCTCCATCTAAAATTTTATGTTCACGTATAGGTGGCAAGAATGTGGTAATATTTAAAAATATATAGATTCCAGTCCATTTAATTATGCTTATATTTACTCCATTTTTAAAATCATGGAAAATTAAATATTCTTTATAGTCAGAGCAGTTACCCAAACAGAATCTATAAACAACCTCAAATAAATATTATTTGAGGGGAGTCCACATGTTGCAAGGCATGTGTCTTAAAAATCTTGAGACATTCCTAAGCAAAGACTTCCCATCACACTTCCTTTAAGCAACCATGGGAGAAGTGCCACAGGATCAGCGCCACTGATGTCGCCCTCAAAATCTTTCTGGGCCTGCAATGGTTTAAGAGAGGCAGAGTAGGGCCTGCTGGCTAGGTACCTGCCAACTTAGCCCAAAGGACACTTCACTGCTTTGAAGAGGGAGCAAAGGAAAATAAAGGTGTTTTATACAGTGATGCTAAACTGAATGAAAAGTTTAATTATTTTTACTTGCTTGTAGTTTGGGCTTCACAGATTGTTACAGTAGGCAAAAGCCAAAAAATAGAAAACAAGGAACGCTAGCAACTCTACAGATCTTACAGGAAATGTAATGGCATTTAGTCCAAAAGGAATTCTAAAATTTACCAACATTAATTCACTCATCATTCATTTGTTCAACAAATATTGATTACATACTAACTATGGACTAGGAAAACAAATTACGTTGACAATTTTTTTTTAATTGTGCTTTAGATGAAGGTTTACAGAGCAAATTAGTTTCTCATTAAACAGTTAATACCCATATTGTTTTGTGACATTGGTTGCCAATCCCACAACGTGTCAACACTCTCCCCTTCTTGAACTTGGGTTCCCCATTACCAGCTTTCCTGTCCCCTCCTGCTTCCTCGTCCTTGCCTCTGGGCTGGTGTGTCCATTAGTCTCGCTTTGTTTTATGGGCCTGTCTAATCTTTGGCTAACGGGTGAACCTTAGGAGTGACTTCAGTAGTGAGTTAAAAAGGTGTTGGGAGCCATACTCTCGGTGTTTCTCCAGTCTCTGTCAGACCAGTAAGTCTGATCTTTTTTTGTGAATTAGAGTTTTGTTCTACATTTTTCTTCAGCTCTGTTCAGGACCCTCTATTGTGATCCCTGTCAGAGCAGTCAGGTGGTAGCCAGGTACCATCCAGTTGGGCTGGACTCAGTCTGGTGAAGGCTGTGGTAGTTGTGGTCCATTAGTCCTTCAAACTAATCTTTCCCTTGTGTCTTTGGTTTTCTTCATTCTCCCTTGCTCCAGACAGGGTGGGACCAGGGGAGTATCTCAGATGCCACTCAGAAGCTTGTAAGACCCCAGACGCTACTCACCAAAGTAGGATGTAGAACATTTTCCTTATAAACTATGTTATACCAATTGAGCTAGATGTCCCCCGAGACGATGGTTCCCAGCCCTCAGCCCAGTAATTCAGTCCCTCAGGGAGTTTGGATGTGTCTATGGAGCTTCAATGACCTTAACTTGGTCAGCTTGTGCTGACTTCCCCAGTATTGTGTCCTGTCTTACCCTTCACCAGTGTTACCACTTAGCAATTGTTTAGTTTGTGTTTTTCCCTCCCCTTACTTGTAACCATCAAAGATTGTTTCTTTTTGTGCGTAAACTTTTTCATGAGTTTTTATAATAGTGGTCTCATATAGTATTTGTCCTTTTGTGATTGACTTATTTCACTCAGCATAATGCCCTCCAGATTCATCTATATTGTGAGATGTTTCACAGATTCATCATCGTTCTTTATTGTTGGCTAGTATTCCACTGTGTGTATGTACCATAGTTTGTTTATCCATTCAACTGTTGATAGGCACTTAGGTTGTTTCCATCTTTTTTGCTATTGTGAACAATGCTGCAACGAACCTGGGTGTACATATGTCTATTCGTGTGATGGCTCTTATTTCTTTTTTCCTTTATTTAAAGAAAATACAGACTGATTATACATTTGACAAATTGCAAGGGTCATTTCTGATTACAGGAAAAAACATAAATTGCACAGAGAAGCAGAACCCCTCCTTCTTGAGGTGTTTACTTTATTATACATTTGGGCCATATTTTCCTTATGAGATTCTCTCTAAAGTTATTATGTAAATACATATTTTTTAAAAATGTGAAATGGCCTACAATTTCCTTTACAGACAACTTCTCATTTACTCATCAAGTAACATCAAATGCATTTGCAATCCCTTACGATGAGAGTGATTCTTTTGAGGCATAAGAGCTAGATCAAATACATCAGTAGGAAACACACCAACACTAAACAGACTGAACTCTACTGAGGACAAGGACTATTGCTTTACATATTTTTAATTCCCCAGTTCCTAACAATGTTCTCAGAATAAAGTTACACAGTTAGTGAATGGTAAATTGATTTATTGGTTATATGAGCAAATATGGAGCTGCCTAACCACAGTAGAAAATAAAAACCAGCTTCCAGATATTAATTTTAATTAGTTTGAAACAACATCATTTATTACCAAATGTTACCAAGTACCTATTATAACTGCTGTAACTGTGAAATTAGCATTATTTGTATCTGATCAGCTATACAAAACTCATCAAGTTTTCTTTTGAAAAAGGTAGTAGAAATCCCAAAGAACAAAGAGGAGACTACTAATTGAAGGTCATGTTTACTAATCTACCACCGTAATCTAGTCTTAGGATCTCCCAAGCAGCTGGAAGAAGGGTGAGGAGAAGTGAGGATGTGGGGAAGGTATGGGAAGCTCTTAACTGGTGGCCCCATTTTTGCTCTAAGGCAACTCAGGGTCTATCAGAGAATCTCGGAAGGCTGCAATGAGAACACAAGTCTTTGGTTCAAAGGTGAAGAGGCCTTCAAAGACTGTCTGATCAGTGTATCCACAGGCAGCAGAGTCACCTCATGAGCTAGGTGGCTTCTTCTTGGTCTCCAAGTCCTTGTTAATTTCTTCAAGTTTTTTGGCCAGGTTTGGTATGTCATAGTTCTGAGCCAGATACATTCCAATGATGTAGGCAGAAGTAAATCCAAGCAGGAACTGGAGCATGATGTTGGCTGGGGTGGGGGTGGGGGTGTGAAGGACTACCACAGGTCCGATGGCTGGTCCGAGCCTGCCTCCTGATTCTTACTTCTATAGGATATATTCCTAGGAGTGGGATTGCTGGATCATATGATTTTTCTAATTCTAGCTTTTTAAGAAAGCACCATATCGTTTTCCAAAATTGTTTTACATTTCTACCAGCAGTACATAAGAGTTCTAATCTCCCTGCAGCCTCTCCACCATTTGTTATTCTCTGTTTTTTTTAATTCATGCTAGTAATGTTGGGGTGAGATGGTATCTCATTGTAGTTTTGATTTGCATTTGTCTAATGGCTAGTCATCGAGAGAGCATTTCCTCATGCGTCTGTTAGCCGCTTTAATATCTTCTTTGGTGATGTATCTATACATATCCTTTGCCCATTTTTTAATTGGATTATTTGTCTTAATGTTATAGAGATGTTGGATTTTCCTATAGATTTTAGACATTAAACCTTTGCAGATTTGTCATAGGCAAATTTTTTTTTCCCCAGTCTGTAGCCTCTCTTTTTACTTTTTTGGTGAAGTCTTGATGAGCATAAGTGTTTAATTTTTAGAAGGTCCCAGTTATCTAGCTTATCTTCTGGTGTTTGTGTATTGTTAGTTATGGTTTGTATCCTATTTATGCTGTGTTTTAGGGCCTCTAGAATTGACCCTATTTTTTCTTCTATAATCTTTATAATAGTTGT